TGGTCGCAAAGTTTCAATACGAGGAATTACTAGCACTAAATTTCTACTTCATTTCGACTTTTCAGCTCATTTTTCTAAACCATTTCCATGAGTATTTTATTTTGTTTTACTTCTGATACAAATATGCAAACACATCTTTAACTATCAAATCGAGATGAGTCATATTTATGAAATACCATGATTTGACATTATATTGCAAATTAGCTGAAAGAGAAATTAACCGAAAATTTCTATGGCAATATGCAAATCATTCAGTACCAATATTGTATTAAAAATCACAGGCAGGATTATTCAGTACTGTACAGATTAAAAATTCATTCAATCAGTTCAATGCAAACTATCCACCACTTTCCATTCATTCAAATATTACACCCTCTATATCACTTTCAGGATTTCTGGTCAACTTCCAGGTAATTTTTGTATACATTATATTCTTTTAATGCTTCCTGAACAAATACGGAATAGGTCACAACTAAATGACGTGTTTCATGCAGCTATTCAGAAATATTATAATACATGCTTTTAAACATTCATTTTTTCTTCAAAGCAAATTCAGCCATGTAAAAGCAATTACTAAGGACCAGGCCTAAAAAATGCAAAAATAATGTACGGATCAAAGTGGTGAAACGAAATTAATTAAACAATAACTCCTTCTAAAACAATAACATGAAATCAGTGAGAATCGTAAGGGTTGCTAATAGTATACTGTGAATACCAATGAGTAATGGTATCATGAATCGCGTTCTTTTCATCGTTACGGGATATTTCGGGAATTAGTACCTTAATGGAAGAAGACATTGTGAATTAGAAACACATTTTAATGTGTGAAATTCAAGATTAACAGAAACTGAAATTGTCCCTTTCCGGAATTTGGGGAAAAGGACTGATGATTGAATGTTTTCAAAAAATATAACAAATCACTGATTTCAGCATCACACTTGCTTTTTGCTTTGCAAAAGCAGAAGCGAAAACTGAATATGTGTTTTGTAGGAAAGTAGGAAGCAAAGCAAATATGCAATGAATTCGTTTTAAATCCGAATAATCTTTGCTCCAAGCAACTGTACGCCATGAATAAAAAACAGTTTTTTCTTTTTTTTGTGATGAATTTTGCAAAATTTACAGTAATGCTCCGATTATTTTGCAATTTTTTACATGTTATAACATTGTCTTTTTGTATTTCAATTTATCTGCAATCCTTTTCATGAGGTTTTCGTCGGGGATTAAAAGCATATCCATCAACTATCGAGTTAGAGATAGGAAATTTGAATGTAAGAGAAAAAAATATGAGAAATACTGCTAATCGTGCCGATCAAAAGTTACTTGAATCTTTGGTCGTTTAATTCCATTCAATGTGATATAAAAAGGCTCCTATTCAAACATTTCTACCATTTTAAAAATTTTGTATTTTATTTTGTTCTTCGTCATGTCGATAACACAAATCATTGGGTTCAGTCTTCTGCTTTGCGTCACTTTGGCTTATAATGAAACTTTCTCTCTACTTAACTCTGACACGGATGTTATTACCACATATCTTCATTATGCCGGTTAGTAACAAATCTCTTTCAAGAAAGCATTAACTATTATTTACTCTCAAGGAATCATTCATAACTTCAATTTATCAATCTTTGGTCTAGATACCAGCGAACATAAATAAACACGCTCCTTTTTAAGCAGATTATCTTTTTATCAAATTTGTAACTGTGCAAGTTTGCGCGAAATCTCCTTTGGAATACCTGCGGCCAATCTCAAATGTGAATAAATTGTGTTTGAGAATTGAATAAAAGATGTTCATATTATGCGAGCAATCAATGCGTATCAATCTCATTTTCAAAGCTAATGTATTTAGAAAAGTATTTACTGAATATCAAACTGCAGTCTGTGTTATTTCTTGTAAACAACTGTTCAATATGCTAATAAATTTGAATATTTTTTTCAGAATTGGCAAGGAATCACACTCATCAATATGGATTTCACCTGTTTCGTTTTCTTCCTCTTCCAACTAAGTAACACTCAAACTATCGTAAGTTCATTTAAAGTTAAAAAATAGAAGATAACGCTGCAATATTTCTAAGGTTTCAAAATTTTAACGCAGTTCAAACTTGATAACTTCATATAATTTGAGGAGCCACAAACAGAACCGCTGGATTTGTCAATGTCAAGAATGATTGAGGGGCGGATTGGACCATCAGATCTATCAGTGCCAGAAGTGAATGAAGGACAAGTGGAACTCAACGAAGTCGATCAGAATGATGCAAGCTCGTTGAACTCACAAATTCAAGAAGTAAATAGGGAACAAATAAGTATAGGAGATATGCCGAAGAAAATCTGGTTTAAGAGGCATCAAAATGAAACGTCCAACATCGAAATATTCAAAAGGAAGCATTCAGAATGTACGACTCACAAAGATGAGAAGCGGTTCAAATACGAAATATCCAAGGAAGATTTCGCTGTTCCATCGAGTACACATATCAAGAATCATACCGGTAAGAAGTCCTTCCCTCGTTCGAATTCCGCCCAGTTATGGAATCCGGATGGACATATGAGTATTCATCTCGATGAAATAGTCTCTTGTTCCGAATGCATGGTGAATTTCACCTGGTTAGATACTCCGCGTGCACATATGAAGAAGCTGTACAATTGTTCAGAATGCAAAATGAATTTCACAAGGAAAGATGTTCTGGATATACATATGAGGATTCATACCGGTGAGAAACCATACAATTGCTCAAAGTGCAAAATGAACTTCACAAGGAAAGATGTTTTGGATATACATATGAGGATTCATACCGGTGAGAAACCATACAATTGCTCAAAGTGCAAAATGAATTTCACCCAGAAAAATAATCTGAATACACATATGAGGATTCATACCGGTGTGAAACCGTACAATTGTTCTGTGTGCGGGAAAAATTTCAGACAATCAGCGCATATGAAACGTCACATAAAGATTCATGACAGTAATAGATCCAAATTCAATTGCACTGCATGCCGTAAAGCTTTCATGACGAAATCCGGCTTGAACAGACACATGAAGAGTCATGTGATGGACTGGTAATTGCATTTTGAACGAAATTAAGCATTGCTATTTTGTTGTATTTTCTATAAGTTAAATTCATTTTTCTTTATTGTATTGTTATCATTCTATTGCTTTATATACATATTAGTATTGTTCCTTTGTAGTTTCTTTATTAATTCCCTCATCTTAGTGAATAAAATTTCCCGTTCCAATGTCTACTTGCATTTTACTAAGCAGCCTTTTTATTATTAATGCATATATAACAAGCAAATAACTTACATTCTATGCATGGAATGAAAGTATAACAAAATGGAAGTTTCTGGTAGCGAAAAGGCTTTTTTCAATCACAATACTTGAAGTCTCTTATCATTTCATAGGGTTATCCATCCATTTCGTTTGTCAACTCAGTGTTCTGTTGCAGAGTTCCGTTGAAGACAATAGACATTTCAGTATCCTATTTGCAAGTAACATTTCATTCTGTTGATAAGCCATCCCATCTACGGTTTCACACCAGTGTGTTGCCGAATAGATGATTTGCATTCAATGAATGTTCCAAATCGGTGATAGATCTGATTAGACAGAACATGAAATATCAATTTTGTATTTTAAAATCATCCATACGACAATGTCTTGTTGTATTTGATACAGATAAATTGACTCAAAATACTTTCCATTTTTTAAACTTGTTATTGTGGATTTCAATTTATTAAATTATTTTGAACTGAATTTAGATGAAAATACACAGCTATTATTTTTTAATTAATTTCACATGAATGATTCATCAATTCATTGGATGAATGTGCAATATTGGTGTATTGTTAATGATCGAACATTGTATGTTTACCTAGATGCTATTATCCATGATCATTCGATCAAATAATAAATCAGTAAGCTAATTAACTAGTTTAACAGAATTGTTGGCAAAATTGAGAACAAAAAGTCAGTTTGTGAAGCTAATTAATAAATTGACGAATTAATGAATGAATTTGGTTAAATCATTCAGGGAACTGAAATAATTAAGGAAAAGTGAACCATATATATTTGAAATAAATGAAAATTTATTATAAAAATGTAAAATTTTGTCGACAAAAAGAAAGGAAAAACTATAAAAATGAACAATAATGGATAACACAGCTTTATTTTTAATTGTTTCGATGTATAAATATGTGAATCAAATCGAAAATGCTCCAATATTTGTCGGTTCTTGCAACTTTTTCAGTTGACTCATTTCCGACCAATGGATTGCCCAGCCTTGTCCAGTTTGAGCTTATTCATTCCAGTACGATTTGAGGATTTCAAGATTAGGAACTAGTTAGATCTGATTCTGAAAGGGTAAACCATCCGTCATTAAGCTGTATTTTTCAAAAATGAAATATGTAGATATTTCACTGAAAAAGAGCTGTAGTACACTGTCAATAAACTATTCATTTCGACTAGAAATGATAAAAGCGTCTGAAGAAATGAACAATCACACGATTTGGATGCATATAGTTGTCCTGTGTGCGGGAAAATCTTCACCCCATCACTGTATATGAAATGTCACATGAAGATTCATGACAGTAATAGGTCCAAATTCAATTGCACTGTATACGGTATAGCTTTCCTGACTTAATGAATATATGACAAGCAGATAAATTGCATTCCATGCATGAAATATTGTGCAAAGTGGAAGCGAATTTTTGACAACGAAAAGGCTTTTTTTTAATGACAACACCTGAAGTATCCTTTCATTTCATTCAAATATAAATGCATTCCTTTTGTGCCTTGTGATACTTGATTACGTCACTGGAAAAAAAAAGCTAATTTTTCAATCACGAATGGTTTTAATGAAAGAGTATGACAGGGAAGGTCTGTGCTTCTATACATACTATAACAGTGCCAAAGGAATGCAAATTGATAGGAATCCTCATGCTTCCATGCTATTTTACTGGCCTCATGTTGATAGACAGTT